CCAGTGCCTCTATTGACGGGAACCCTTTGGCACTCGTCCGTGTCGGCACCCCTTTTTGCGGTGACGACACAAGGCGCCTAGCCGCTGCCTTTGTAGATGGCGCGTCGTTTCGAAATGGAACTTTTGCCCTACCCGAACGGTACGCACAAGCGCCTCTGACAGCTAATGCGCCCTTCAGAATGCATGGCGGTTCGTCGGCACAACGCTTGCAGTTGGTTCCCTGCAGAATTGACAGGGCGCAGGCTTTGGCCTTCGCCGACTTTTGCCTGCCATCAGCCGTGCAACCGACACTTCAAACGCACGCTGAGCAGGCGCCTGAATTGTCGATGGTAGCCCCACCAAGTGGGCATTTTGCTGACCTACCTTTTGTTGACCTACGTGATGACCTACCCTTAAACCATGCATGTAAATATATGAATATCAGCGTCACTGATTTAATTTATAGTTTGTGGTCATCTTATGTCTTGGCACACACAAATATTCTGCGGCCAAATCTAAATGTACATTTTCAGATGTAATGTTACATACCATGTGCTACGTATTTTTTGCAACTGTTTATTCCACCAGCTGATGCAGAGCTGACAAATGTGCCGCCATCACTGTCTATTTTACGGTCACGAAGACCCTACATTCACTACTTCCGCTTGCCCATGAGAAAAAATGCGGCAGCCAGCTTTCGCTTTTTTCCCAAACGGCTTCTTAAAAGCGTGCGTCTTTTAAAATGTGTCGCTGTGTGGAAGTGATCAATTTTTGGAGTATTCGCTAAATAAGGAACACAAAGCTGCTCCGTGGGTCGGTGCAAGTTTCCTTTAGGTGGAAAATTGTAAAATGCGAACGATTGACCAGCAGATAGCAACTCGACAACATGAACAGTTTTGTCAAGTCGTTGTCTTCGTCTCAATTCATTGCTGTACTGCGCCTAAGGATGATGGCTGCATGTAGGCACTCTTTGTACGCAGCCCGATGCGATCACGATCCCAAAGTACGTCCACAATTTGCTCGCAGAGTAAAATATGGACACTCTCCTTTGGTTTTATCAGTAAATGAGTGAAATGAGAGTACCTTAGTAACCTGCGCTTCGCCGATGACATTGCATTGCTGAGTAACTCAGGGGACGAATTGCAACTCATGATTACGGAGTTAAACAAGGAGAGCAGAAAGGTAGGTCTTAAAATTAATCTGAAAGTAATGTACAACAACCTCGGAAAAGAACAGTGCTTTGAGATAGGTAATTGTGCACTAGAAGTTGTAAAAGACTATGTCTACTTAGGACAGGTAATAACCGCGGAGCCAAACCACGAGATCGAAGTAATTAGAAGAACAAGGATGGGGTGGAGCACATTTGGCAAGCACTCTCAAATATTAACAGATAGATTGCCACTATCCCTCAAGAAGAAGGTATATAACAGTTGTATCTTGCCGGTACTTAGCTACGGAGCAGAAAACTGGAGACTTACAAAAAGGGTTCAACTTAAATTGAGGACGGCCCCGCCGCGGTGGTCTAGTGGCTAAGGTACTCGGCTGCTGACCCGCAGGTCGCGTGTTCGATTCCCGGCTGCGGCGGCTGCATTTCCGATGGAGGCGGAAATGTTGTAGGCCCGTGTGCTCAGATTTGGGTGCACGTTAAAAGAACCCCAGGTGGTCGAAATTTCCGGAGCCCTTCACTACGGCGTCTCTCATAATCATATGGTGGTCTTGGGACGTTAAACCCCACAAATCAATTAAATTTAGGACGACGCAGCGAGCAATGGGAAGAAAAATGGTAGGTGTTACCTTAAGAGACAAGAAGAGAGCAGAGTGTATTAGGGAACGAACGGGGGTTAAGGATATCATAGTTGAAAGCAAAAAGAGAAAATGGACATGGGCCGGGCATGTAGCGCGTAGACAGGATAACCGCTGGTCATTAAGGGTAACTGACTGGATTCCCAGAGAAGGCAAGCGAGTTAGGGGGAGGCAGCAGGTTAGGTGGGCAGATGAGATTAAGAAGTTTGTGGGTATAAAATGGCAGCAGCAAGCACAGGATTGGGTTAACTGGTGGAACATGGGAGATTCCTTTGTCCTGCAGTGGACGTAGTCAGGCTGATGATGATGATGATGAAATGTGTGACGGAGGAATGACTCACTTGCGAGAGCGTCGGACGCGTTATTCAAGGTTTAGTCCCTGCCAGTGGCAAGCTATCTTTAAGTGCAGTTTTCTCTCTTCACATTTACATTGCAATGACTACTAATAACACACTTTCCTTGTCTGTTAGTTCTCATTGATACTGCTCACTTTCTGAGTGACTGAGTGTGAGCACACTGCGGCTCCCCTTGGCAGCTGTGTTAACTGTGGAGCTCACGATGCTCAGATCAGCCAATAGCAGTTGATTTTGGGTTGATGGCATGGTCGTTTAGGTTTATGGCATCATTTTTATAGAAAAGAGCAAGCGATTTGTAGCTGACTTTGAGAATAAAATGACAACTCCAGACCAAGTCGTGCACAATATTGTTTTGCTCACACGCTTTCACAGGCCTAAATCACTGATTGACAGAGTCTTCTCACTATGCTGAAAAAATTTTGCAAGGCCTCTTCAATGAGCTCAGCATATCTGAAAAAAGATCCCATGGAGTGGCAAGCCGGAAAAAAAAAAAAAAAAGCAGGTTGCACCCAATGCGAGTAATCATGCTATCTCTCATGTGCTAAGAGCCGGGTTTCGAAAGGGGCCTGTTATATTTGGCCGACTCAAGAAATATGCTGCAGGACCAAACTTCGATGTGGCATATTTTGTTGATATGTTCACGTTTCATACAATTTCCCAGTGCCAACATTCACGAGATTGTTATCAAGTGAAACTGCACGATGTTTCAGTGAAGTGAGATAGTAAGCTTACCCAGATAGTATGTTTCTTCCAATGTTTCTTTTTCGAAAATGTATAAACAAAACCCAACTGTATTTGTTGAAAATAAAGTACACAAAGTAATGAACAGAAGGCATGAAGAGCCTTTCTTTTTAAGCATCACCATGGCGAGAGCTTCGCTTGTTTCTAGATTTCCTCCTTCCTCTGACTTTTTCTATGTAAGAATTCTATATTGCTGCACATTAATAAGGAGTTCATAAAGGAGTTCATTATTTTACATTTGATGATTGTTTAGCAAAAATGAAAAAGCCTTCCTGTAAGAAAGCCATGTCAAGCATTTGTCAAGATGAAGGCATGAGCAGACTAAATAGAACTGTCACAAGCAAAAGAGCACGGGGCACGCGCCCAGTGATGAAATGTTTTAATGGGGTGCGAGATGCAGATAATTTCTCAACAGTATGCACCGCTGCCACATCCACACACGTGACTGGCAGGAGGAGGGCTCGAGGCACGCTACACGAGTCGTGGTGAAGAGCCCAGGGATAGAGAATGGGTATTGTCTGTGGGGCACCATTTGGAGCAGCACGAGAAAGCCAGCGTTTCAGAATGCAGAGAGCAGAGGGTGCCAGGTCGACCTCCCTACCAGACTTGTAGGCTACCAGACTTGTAGCATCTTTCCACACAGAGGAGCGGGTACGAGTGCCCGAACATTAGAAATACGCTATCCATGTTTGCCTCCTTCCCACTAATATGTTTCTTGAGTCGCACGCTAGCCGTCGAGAGGTATTGGCTCTTGCTCTGTGGTACCAATAAGCTCTAAACAAAACGTATTATATACGAACATTGCCAGCGCTTATCGTGGGGGTTGGTATACTACCAAGACAGGCAGGTGGATGATCTGTCCTTCCGCGCACCCAGTGTTACCCATGCTGAAGAGGTGGCCATAGCTCTAGCTATCTCTTAGGACAGTTATAAATCTATAATATCAGACTCTAAAGGAGCATGCCGAAAATTTCAATAGAGATGGATCTCACCCCTAGCTGGCCAAATTATTAAACCTTGTGCGCGAGTAGGTTAGCCCTCTCACTAATCAGGACTCCTGGCCATCAGGGCCTCGCAGGCAATGAGGCAGCACACCCGGCCACCCGTGCACTTATTCCTTGGGCGACTCCGATGACCCCTGTGATCCAAAAGAGAACGTTCCTCTCCAAAATTTTAGAGAGATAATTACTCATTACTGAGACTTCCACTGCCGCTTTCCTGTGCCCTGCAAAGGACTCTGAAGGTGGACCAGATAATTATTTTCTTTCTACCAATATGCTACTATGCCCGGCTATGCTTAAACATTTTGACTCTTCCCTTTCCGGCCTCTGCCAGTACAGTGCGGAGGTGGCTCACACCTACCACATGGTATTGGCATGCTAGCTCAATCCTTCTTCTTCACCCCTGAACCCCAATTCAACCAGAGAAAACTCGGAGGCGGCCCCACTCAGCTGCCTGGTCCTTCCTGCTCAACAAGCCATGGTCCGGCGAGCCAGCTGGAACAGTGGCCACGACCAATGAAATCCCTTGCTAGGGACTCTACTAGTACTGTAAGAAAGCTGACCTGCTAGAGGCTGGGTTTTCTTGCAACCTCTTAGTTTTTAATAAATGTTTACAAACACCACCAGTGAGACAGCAGTGCTGTCATTACTGCACCTGCAACACTCCAGCTTCGCTGGCAGAACCCACAGGACAGTTCCCTGTGTGCCAAAGATGCAAACCGAAATCAAGTGGTTTGTGCGTAGCAGCTGAGCAGCAAAGACCACAGGAACTGAGCAAGAGCATCATTGATGACGGTGAGCTCAACACAACATGGATGACAAGAGATCGACTCTGACACTGCACAAACTATATGACAAGTAACGACGATCGATCCATTACGAATGTGACCGAGAGGCCAGCGTGGCTAGACTACCATGGCATTGAGAAACAGAGTTTAGCTGAACATCAGTGTTGTAGGTTATTTTTGTACGTAGTTTTGATTGTATGAACTCTTGCTGTGAGGCTCGGTGGGGTTTTGTCACATGAAGTGTGTTTGCTGTGCCACCTGTGACTCTCTCTCAAGTTCAAGCACTCCCGAGGTGAGGTGACAAGAGTTGAGTGTGACTCAGCTGGGCTCACCTGCAGGGCTGTGTCTTCCGAACACTCCGAGCGTTCGCGGCTGCCAGCTGCTTCATCATCCCCACTCGACACATCTTCTTCTTCGGCATGTGCTGCCAGGTCTGAATAGTCCCAGCAGTAGCCTGCAGTGGTTGGGAAATATCCTTATGTTTGCGGCAAGAACATTTATGGTATATTTTGAGGAACTATACCAAAGCCCACTGGCAAATCTTACACTAGGAGTTGTAAGGCACGGTGGGCTTGGTAAGGTCTTGCCAAGCCAGTTTTTCAAAATGTTTTATTACTGAACAAAAGCTCTTTTTACTCCGCCAAAAGTGGCGGATTGGACCAGATGTTGCAGGCGTCCCGCACGTGCACAGACGTGACTGACGCAATGTGCTGCCCGAGCATGTCCATTATCTCTGATGCGCCTGTGAAGGTGAGTCGTAGCTAAAAAGCAATAAGTAATGGTGCACACAGTGTCAACCTGTGCTTATAGTGCTTGCGCAGAGTGACAGTTCTAGCTCCAGATTCTGAAAAACTCGAATAATGAATAAGCTTTGGAAGCTAGCATAAGCAATAATGTTTTTGACGTCATGTTTACTGGTGCTGATTATGAAACCAGCACATGACGGCTTCTTGATAGATGAATGGAGTGCACATATGTTGAATTCCAATGCCAGAGTTGGAACAAATTTTTCTGCTGCTTTTGGAGCAAGTGCTTTCCAACTGCAGATTGAGCGCAGAAGTCAAGCGTTCTAATGAAAGAGTCACTCCGATTGATATTTATGTGGGGTTTAACGTCCCAAAACCACTATATGATTATGAGAGACGCCAGAAGTGGAGGGCTCCGGAAATTTTGAACACCTGGGGTTATTTAACGTGCGCCCAAATCTGAGCACACGGGCCTATAACATTTCCACCTCCATCGGAAATGACGCCGCTGCAGCCGGGATTCGAACCCGCAACTTACGGAAAGAGTCACTCTGTGGCACATGAAAAGTTGCTCTGCCAAAATTGGCGGAGAGACTGAAACACGGTGAACACTTCTGCCTGCATCAAGATGCTGCCGGTGTCGCATTTTTTTACAGTAATAGACTTAGGTGACTTTGCGAATTGTTCAGCATTGCTTTCACATCTGCTCCATGGCGACAGATCCAAAACAAACAACTCCAGTTTATGCATGATCCATTCATCGCATAGCTACAGTGGCACTAGCGACTCTGAAACTGCCATGTGTGAGTGGTATTGTGAGAGAATTTGACAGGAGAATTAGTGGAATGGTTACTCTATTTACTCACATAATGTGTGTTTTTGAATAATTTGCACATCGCTCAAATTTAGCCAGCTTTACTAAAAAATTATTTACTTGCACATTTTCCGCTCACAGACCCGCCTGAGAGAGCACACCGGTGGACGCACAAAGAGACTTGGGACCTTGGGTGCATAGGACGGGCGTGACTGTCGGCGCGCCTTGCCAATCAAGCAGGCGCAGTCACATGGGCTGCAAGTGCAAAGCCCCTTTTTTCGAGAACTTCCCTTGAACTAAGGTCCCTAGAATGATACTCGAACACTCAAACCTGTTGACGGGTTGCCGGAATTCATGACGGAACTGCTTGAGCGTTTGCCTCTGTTTATCTCCCTATCTCTATCACCGTAAGAATGCACGCTCGCATCAAGGCACAGACTTTCGACAACGAAGGTGTGCGATGCCTGTCGTGCCAATAGTTCCCCTCATTTTCTACGTCCGCATTGTAACACACCTTGGTTGATTTCGGGCGTTGAGGTTTCACTAACCATCCGCCGAGTTTATACTGTTCTCTTGCGATGGGTTACAATATTTAAATATATAATTAAACATGGCCTTAGAGATTGTGAGCACGCAGCAGGTTTCTCTCCGGCCATCTCAATCACACGGAGAGCGCGTGTTTGCAGAGGTGGGCGTGGCTCGCTCTTTTCTCCGCACGGCAACACTATTTCTTTCTGTCTAAAAGGCTGCCACCATGTTGGTGAAGCTTCTATATGGCAAGAGAAAAATGGTTTTGCACTTTTATATAGCTTCGTGTTCCTTTGGAAATGACGGGTAAAGAAGTACGAGAGGCAAAGTCAATGCTGGGGCTTTTTATTTTCAAATGGGGCCTTTATTTTGCTGTAGATTGACGCCGCTCATAGTTAAGCAGTTGAAATTGTGATGCCTCTGCGAGAAATCCACATGTGCTCGAAACTATACTGCAAAGTTTGCGGGCTGTATAGAGAGGGGGGGGAACAGCGAAGAAGAAAAAAAAATGGCAGCCTGATCCGCAGGCGAGGTCAGACGACTGCAGCGTTCTATGTCCATGGATTACTTTTCACTCTCGATTGAATGGATTCTTCTTGCTCTCATAAAACTAGCACTACTTCATATTGTGACGCTTTTTCGAGAATTTTCGCAGATGCCCTAACGTGATCACAGATGCGCCACGATGTGGTTTTATTGCTGCTTAGGCTGGCACCCCGGCCGCCCAGCTGTGCTCGCCACAACTGGTCTTCCCAATAGATGAGGCACGTTCACTGGCACTTGTCAACGAGAAGCAAAATGCTGTTCGGCGCGCGAGGGATAAATAAACAAAATCACAGCATATGCACGAAGTCATTGATTGGTGCAGTAAAGCATCTGTCGAATCGTCCGTCCGTCCGTCCATCCGTGCATTCGTTCATGCGTTCATCGACTCCCTTCACACTATGGCACGCATCGGACGGATGGACGCTTCGCCCCACTCACAATATCATTCACTCCGTGGATATGCTGGCTACGCTGGATAGAAGGACGACCGACCAAGTAATGCTATAAAAAGCTTCATTCCTAAAAGCAATAAAACCATGTCGTGCTACGCGTCCCAGCTATGATTACGACAGCGCGCCTGTAAGAGTTCTCTAAACAGCATCCCATCTAAATAAGGGGTAGTTCCACGAAAGGAACAAGAAAGCGACCCATTTATTTGCGTGTAACCCGTGAGTGCAGAATGTGGCATTCTGATTTTGCTTGTGGATTGGGCCGTCTGTTTTTATTAAATGTGGAGTGTTTTATAATCGCACCTACTCGAGAATGCAGCGTCCGCGGTTTTTAATTTTTTTCTATTTATTGTGCAGAAGGCCACACATCAGTATGACACATTCCCGAAATTATATGGAAAAAACGAAAGCAGACGTCACTTTTTTTTTTAACAGAAAAAAAACTACAGCATTGACATAGCATTAATTGTACAAACCGTAACCAGTCGACAATTTAATTGATAGATCACTACTATTGAATCAAACATTCATTGTGACTTCTACTCCAAAATTTTCTCTCCTCTATGCACAATGCCAGTGACGCATGCATGCAAGGTAACCACGCGAACGTCGCAGCATGAGTGCGTTACGAAGAAATAACACCCGCTGGAGAAAAAAGGTCGCCGAGTCGACCAAACTCGGCGCTCAGCATCAGTAACTGTCTTGCTCTCTCCTCGGAGTGTGCCAATGCCGTCAAGTCTGGCGCGAAAGCCGCGCTCTCAAAGTGCACAACGCTTCACATTTTCCCTAGAGGCTTTCTTAGTGGACTTGAGCTTTTCGGCCATCATGCGTGGATTGTCACCCTGCATCATCAAGGTTCTCCTTACAAGTGTTTGCCATTTGGAATAACAAGCCTTTTCAAGCCCAACCTGTCTGGAGCACTGACTGTTGGCACAAACCCTTTACTTAAAAATTTACATTCGTTGAAGCACTGTTGCTCATACTCACTGATGTGGAGAGGCCAAACACAGCCGAGAGGCTACTTACTATCTCACAGCAGCCTGGTTGTGTGCGAGCAAAAATGTCATATCACATCAAATACCCCCCTGGATAGGCACCAGAACAGGCTCTAGGATTGGCAGCACAATGCAAGTTGCTCTGCTTGTCAGTTCACAACACAGTCGTACATGCCAGGAGACTGGTATCAAGTCCAAGCACAGGTCGGCAAAAAGTGTCAAGTTCACTGAGGCTCACTTGTGCGATATATTTTGCCGTAACGGCCGACTCAAACTCACCAAAGCACAGGTCGGCATAAAATCTGGACAGGCTCACTCATGAAAAAATTGAGGGACCCTTAAGCTTCGCCTTTAGGAGTTGAAAGCGATAAAGACATTCTGTTCCTAGTGCGTACTTCAAACATTTAGTGTATGAAATCTTTTTGAACTTGCTATGCACCCACTACCTCTCCTTAATGGCCTCAGTCCCTGGGTAACCTGTCGGGTACGGTTGTTTTAAAGGCTACAGATCAGCACAGTTTGATATTAACGTGTCCAATTTTGTATTGGCAAAATAAGGACATGGCTACCGAGATTGCGGGCACACGGTGGATTTCTCTCCGGCCGTTCCAATCGCACAGAGGGCGGGTTTCCAAAAGGGGGCGTGGCCCACTCTTTTCTCCACACTGCTGCACTCTTTCTTTCAGTCGAAAAGGCTGCCACGTTGTTGGCGAAGCTTTTATGTGGCAATAAAGAAATGGTTTTGCGCTCTTATATAGCTTTGTGTTCGTTTGGAAATGTCGAGTCGAGGAGTCAAAGTCAATGCTCGGGCCTTTTATTTTCAAATGGGTTATTTATTTTGCTGTAGATTGGTGCCACTTATATTAGAGCAGTTGTAATTGAGATGCCTCTGCAACTATACTTCAAAGTTCGTGGGCTGTATAGAAGTGGGGGGGGGGGCACCGGCGAACAAAAAAGAAAAATGGGAGCCCAATCCGCAAGCGAGGTCAGGCGACTGCAGCGTTCTACGTACATAGATTACTTTTTACACTCGATTGAATGGATTCTTCTTGCTCTCATTGAACTAGCGCTGCTTTTCATTGTAACGCTGTTTGAGAATTCTTGCAGGCGCCCTAATGAGATCACAGCTGCGCCACGACGTGGTTTTCTTAGAAGCGTTATTCGCTTCTTAGACTGGCATGCCCGCCGTCCAGCTGTGCTTGCCACAACTGGTCTTCTCTATAGATGAGGCACGTTCAGTGGGACTTGTCAACGACAATCAAAACGCTGTTTGGCGCGCGAGAGAATGATTAGTAGGGTGAAGCGTCCATCCATCCGTCCGTTCGTTCATGCATTCGTATGTCCATGCGTCCGTCAACTCCTATCACACTACAGCATACATCGGACGGACGGACGCTTTGCCCCACTCAACATATCATTCACTTTGTGGATATGCTGGCTATGCTGGATAGAAGGACGACCGACCAGGTAATGCAATAAAAAAAATTTGTTTCTGAAAGCAATAAAACCACGTCGTGCTGCATGTCACTGTTGTGATTAAGTCAGCGTGCTTGTAATAATTCTCTAAACAGCGTTCAACCTAAATCAGGGGTAGTTCTACGAAAAGAACAATAAAGTGACCCATTTATTTGCGTGTAACCCGTGATTGCAGAATGTGGCATTCTGATTTCACTTGTGGATTGGGCTGTCAGTTTTTATTAAATGTGGAGCATTTTACAGTCACACCTACTCGCGAATTCGACTGTGCATGCTGGCATCTTGTGATCAAGTTTTTTTGCCTGACGTGCAGAAGGGCACGCAGCAGCAAGACATATTCCTGAAATTAAATGAAAGAAACAAGACCTTGTGTCACTTTCACTAACATGGAAAAACTACAGCATTGACATAGCATTAATCGTACAAACCGTAACCAGTCGACAATTTAATTAATAGATCACTACTATTGAATCAAACATTCATTGTGACTTCTACTCCAAAATTTTCTCTCCTCTATGCACAATGCCAGTGACACATGCATGCAAGGTAACCACGCGAACCTCGCATCATGAGTGCGTTACGAAGAAAGAACACCCGCTGGAGGAAAAAGGTCGCCGAGTCGACCAAACTCGGCGCTCAGCATCAGTAACTGTCTTGCTCTCTCCTCGAAGTGTGCCGATGCCGTCAAGTCTGGTGCGAAAGCCGCGCTCTCAAAGTGTACAACGCTTCACATTTTCCCTCGAGGCTTTCTCAGTTTCTCTTTCCAACTACCTTCTGTCGTGTTGCAGAAGTTGGAGACAGGGAAGAGGTCTAGACTCTATCTAGACTGATTGTCACTGGCTTTGCGACGACTGCAGGCTGGTTACAGCTGCGGTTCGGTTACTTATGTTCCCCCATTCGCACTGTGAGTTCTACATGTTCAGTGGATATGTTGGGGAATGTAAGAACGAACATCGAGATGTTTTGCTTGTTGGAGAAGAACACCGCACGCATTCAGAGCTTTGTGTATCTGGTATGAAACATGGCTTGTTACATAGCAGTGACAGTTCACACTTTTTTTTCTTCAGTAGTCTACCTTGACGTATATTTGGTTTTCTGAAAGAAGCTGTTCGGCCGCGTGTGCGACCCTTTGATTTAGATGCAGTCGAGATTACTGTAAATGAGCACTTTACTGATGTCCCCAGAGTGCCACCAAAACATAATCAAAATACAGATGACAAAAAAAGGAGGACGATGATAACTCAAGCACTTTCACTGTGGAAAACGTGGGGAGTAAATGTAGGTTAGCTAATCGTAGCTTTTCACAATATTCTGGCAAAATTACTCATCACAATAACAAGTGGCACGATCATGGCACTTATCTAAAGCGTAAGTAGAATTTGGTTGACCACCTGATAAATATCGGCATGCGATAAAACAGTAAGATGATCTGCAATGATAGAAGGGCAATGTAAATGAACTATGATAATTAGCCCATTTTTCACCCATGTATGCGTCTCCAGAAAGGGGGAACGCTAGAATGCCTCTGTCACGAACGAAATATTACCCCCTTGCAATGATCTATATAAGAAAAAATCAGCAGTTACCATGCTTTTATTCATCAATTAGACCAAAATAAAAGCTGTAACAGACAAAAATACTTGCCTTCAGTGCAGCCAGAAAATTTGTCGATGATTTTTGCTCACACCCGAGAAAAAAAAATGCACGCTGAAATACCACGCGCTCCGCTTTCTGCCGTGGTCTCCACCGCACGAGGAACCCACATTAAACGCGCCCTCTAGAGGTAACCGGGTGCGTGAGGCGAGACTCACTGGTTTTGCTGAGGAGCGCGATGGTTGGGATGGCTGAAGAGAACCACGCCATGCGATCGCAATCTTGAAGGCCATGGATGAAAGTCAAAGCTCACTGTCATAAAAAGTGCCGAGCATTTCAGCGTGAAGTTCTTCAACTTGTGACGATCAGCGAGATCAGTATGGCGTATGGGAGGAAGCATAAAAGTGCACGCTTGCTAATCCAAGTTTCCTGCTGTTGAAGAAGGCCTTTCCAATTATGTGTGAATGCTTAGGCCCTCCGTGTCGTAGAATGTAGCTTCTCCCAGCATTGTGGAGAAAAGCTTCAAGAAAATAGGGCATTTGAACGTGCTTGACGGAAGCGACAACGATTCGCTTTGACAGCGGCCACCGTGATGATTCCCTATCAGAGCTCGCGATAAGTGATACCAAATAGACCGTGCGTGATCGGATCTGACTGTTTAAAGTACGTGCTAATTTTGCTAAATGATATACATACTGCAGGCGTTATGACTATGGTGCATTATTTTGTATGCGCTAGCAAAATCCCCACATAGTTTGTGTACTCCTTCTGGGAGCCATGAAAAAACGTGTGCGAGTAAGTATGGTAACTACAGCCGAAGAGCAGCTTAAGCATGTCCACTTCCTGCTTGAGTACAGATTGTGTTCTAGTAGCAGAGGTGCTGCTCTATGCTATAATAGCTCGTAGAGTTCATAGGCTGCTCTGCCACTGGAAAACTTTTATCAAAATACAGGGGGCAAAAATTTTACACAAAGCTTGTAAATATACTGCTCACACACGAGTTGAGAACAAAAACAGCGTGAAACTTGAGGAGTGCTGGGCACTTCCAAATTTGTGCTGGGAGCAGTGCCATTCCTTCCGTTGCCTTGCACCAGAATGGAGGGCTCCGGTACAGAGCTGGTTGACCATTCTGAGTGTGCCATTGAAATATACAATAAAGAATGCATGGCAGTGCTAGCTATGCTGCCTGCTGATTTCATAGGTAAATAGTGCTAAGAGAACTTGTTAGTGTCAAGGCAGATCTGTACAGCGAATTGTGAGGGTAGCAGTTTGCACAAGCAAAGCCACAAGAAGAACACATAAGTAGACAGAAATAGGGTCAGAAATTATGCTGCCCACCTGGAAGATCAGATGCAATGCTGGTGGCTGAGCTTTGGGGCGCCAGCGATGGAGAAAGGGCTGCCTTCAAGTCTGCACACACAAACATCACAGCTTGAAAAACATGCACTGTGCGGAAAACAGCATGACCAGAACAGTAATATAAAAGACAGACTTCTCTTTCTGCTCACAATAAACCGGCTTCTTCTATTGCAAACACATTTACCTAAATTTTTTTGGTCAATTACTGCTGGAAAACTGGGCATCTGCATGGAGAAACTGATTCTTTAAATAAAGACGACATTTGTTCAATGCTGCCATAAGTTGAAATGTATAAAGGGCTCAAGAAAAAAAAATGAATTGCCAAGCACATTTAGTATGTCGACATCACTAGCATCTGTAAAGAACGAATTCATACTTTTCTTTATTTGGAGTTGTGAAGAAAAACGCATTTCTAAAATCATGATAAAATCTTGAATATGGGAAAATTTCGGCTTAACACTGACTCACTCGTGAATGTTCAAAACACCTTAAGAATCGTTGAAATGTGTTCAGAACGTCCCTTTTAGTAGCACAGCGCACTTCTTATTCCAGACTATTGTGATATACTGATTTACTTTACAGTTCTCTCAGTTTAGAAAAAACCTTGCCCTCCACAAGGCACCTAAAATATTTTGCACCATGAAAACAAGAAATGAAGCCTGCCTTGCTCTAGTGGAGGTTTTCATCTATTTTTCACTTTTTATCTTTCTGCTTCCCTTCCTGAATTACTCCCTCTTCTCCCCTTCCATTTTCTATCCTTCGTTCCTCTCAGGGTGATTGCATGCAAACAAACTGGGCTCTAGCAGAAAATGAAGAGAAGCAACTGAGTAAAACATGCTGTTGGGCCACTTAGTACATGCTTGCTGGAATACAAAAGAGGTGTGTAACCAATGAGGAAGACAGAAAAAAGGGGGCGCCCTCGTCTACACTGTTTTGTGTCCTTCCTTGTTGGTCTTCTCTGTATTTCGGAAGATGAAGAGGACAAAGAGAGCTTGTGCTGGTTGGTATTGGGGCATGATGGTAGCACCGGATAAAAACCAAAGAAGACAATTAATTGTCACGCTATCACACCAACAAGCATAAATCACCACCCTCATCGACTTGATGCAGTCGAAGTTACTTATACCTGTGAGGGTGGCCGAGAGAGGGTGCTACGTGACGGCACCATCATAATCATCGGAACTTGGCCGAGAGAGAGCGCTACGTGATCGTTACGTGACGGCATCATCATCATCATCAGGACATGTCTGAGAGAGGGCACTACGTGATGGCACTATGATCATATTCAGGACGGGGAGAAGAGGGGTTAGGGTTGCGTGTTGGGAATATTCGGTGTGGTGGTTAGGAGTTCCGAGTTCGAAGCAGTGTGCTGTGCGTGATTTAGGCTTAGTTCGTGACAAGTGGTAGATCGTCCTAGATGGCTTAAGGTTTTCGCAACAGTAGCGGAAGACAAGCCTAGGCTCCAAGTTGTCGTTGAGGAGCTGTTGCTAGGCATCGATGGTTCCGCGATGGAGCGCGAACGAATCACGGCGGTAGTGCTAGATCGAGTGATCGCGACGCCGCTGCCCACAGCTCCGCACGTGGGGGTATAGACTGTGATCGAAAACACTGGGAAGGTCCGTCGGGCCATCGACAACTATGCGTCTCGGCTCGTTGCTGTGCACCTTTCCCGCTACTCAGGTGTTATAGATTTAAAGTCGCTAGACAAGGATCTTGAACGCTTGGCAAGCTTCTGCCTCAAGATGAGGCTCGCCGCCGATAAGCGACTGACTCACATAGTACCGGCCGTACTCGAGGGCGGCGCGAAGTTGTAGTGGCGGTTCGTGCCAGGTTCGACTCGTGGGAGCAATTCACTGCCGCCTTCCGCTACGAGTTCGGGTCGATTGACGCGAAGCGTCGTCTGAAGGCGGAGCTCGAGCAGCGCACACAGCTCCCAGAAGACAATTTGAAGGAGTTTATTTATGGGATCACTACATTTTATGACTGCATCGAGGAGAGGGTCACCGAAGCCGAGAAGGCGCTGCGTGTACTGAGGCAGATGCACTCTCAGCGGCAGGATTTGGCGGAGGGTCATGCCTACAACGACGTCGTCGAGTTGGTGCAGCCAGCCGACGGCTTAATGAAGCAGGCTTACGTCGCCTTCAGTACAGACCACCACCATTTCCGAGCAACCAAGTAGCCAGAGATCTGGCGTTCCGCCTTAGCCTGGCCCTCGACCATCCCTCACTGCCGCAGCCGACCACTGTGGTGGCAGCGTCGTTCATCTCGCTCACTGCTGCCCCTTCGGTGCCGCCGACTTATCACTGGCCACTGCATCTAGCTGCGCTGAGCCCGTCGTACTGTCGGTACCGGCAGTACTCGTGCGACACAGCGCCTCCGTTCTCACCCTACAGGTTGGGACCGATGCCGGGGCAGGAGCCCATGAGTAGACCAATGCTTGTGCAGTGCCATCGCTGTGGTGGATTCGGCCACATTACTCGTAACTGTGCCACAAGTCGATGAATTGGGCCGCCTGTTTGCTTTCGGTGCCACAAATCGGGTCACCTGCACGCACAGTCGCTAGGAAACCAGTGGTGGTAGGCGCTGCCCCGGCGAGCACCTACAGCAGTACGCACCAAGTAGCGACCACAGTTAGCGGCAAAGAGTCCCTTATGGACGTCTATATCGGGTCGTCAACGTTCAAGGCCCTGCTAGACACAGGCTCAAGTGTAAGCTTCTTCAGACCGCCCGCCGCGGCAGCAGCCCAAGCTTCTGGAGCCTAACCCAAGGCAGACGTACACGTGCTGCGTTTGGCATCAGGCTGGTCATTATTGAGTGGGCTGCCGGTTGCTGCAGACAGCAATTTTTGTGCGTTCCTGACCTGTGCCGTGACGTTGTACTTGGTAGAGATTTTCTGACGGTGAGTGGCATCTCTCTGCAAGTGTCACTTGGTGGCTGGACCGTCGACACAAAACCATAAAAAAATGTGCCCTTTGTCAAGGTCCTTAGAGAACAGCCAGAGGCAGTGGAAGGTTTTGGAGAGTCTGCTTTGCCTTTTTGCTGAGGGCGATTTCAGTGTGTGTGCTAGTGTGCTGGACGCAACTGCAGTCTGCATTCCCGGCCACTCACCAGACCTAAACCACACATGAAACACATTTTATAAGAATTTAGTGAAATCTTCACCACAAGTCCGAGCTGCACTACCCTGGCCGAGCATCGCATAAACACGGGAGACAACCCACCTGTTCGATGCAAGCTGCGACCAGTGAATGCCAAGAAGCAGGCCATCATGGAAAACTGCATTCACGATCTGCTGGCACAGAATCTCATCTGCCCTAGCCAAAGTCAGCATGCCAGTGCTCCAGTCCTGGTCGAGAAGTCTGGTGGCTACTGCAACGCTGTGAATTGCCGCCAGCTAAATGCACACACTAAGGTGCCAGTCAACCCCATGCCCAGGACTGATTGGTTGCTGGCACAGCTAGGACGAGCCAGGTGGTTCTCAAGTTTTGACCTTTCACAGGGTTTTTTTCAAATCCCTGTTCAAGAGCAGCGTATTCCAAACACAGTGTTCATTTGCCATCGGGGAACCTTCGAGTTCATGAGAATGCCCTTCAGAGTTGCCGGAGGTCTTGCCAGGTTCCAGACCATGGAGGACCAACTACTGGAGGGAATCAATCACCAGTTCGCCTTGGCGTATCTTGATGATGTCTTCGTGTATTTAGAGACCCTGGAGGATCATCTTGAGCATGTTCTGGAGGTGTTGAAGCGGCTAAGCTCGGCACAGCTGACTATCAACTCAGAGAAAGTGCACGTGTGCTGTCAATACCTGAAGTTCCTTAGCCATGAAATATAGCCCAGGCAGTGTAGGCCGGACAAGGTAAAAGTGCGTGCAGGGCGGGACTATCCTCAACCGACAACACCCAAACAGCTGCAGGGCTTCCTGGGACTGGCAGGCTATTACAGAGTGTTCATACCACAGTTTTTTATCACTGCACATCCACTCACAGAACTCTTTAAGAAAAAGCAACATTGGCAGTGGGAGCTGCAGCTAGAGGAAGCAGTCCCTAATACACGATGTCATTGTAACCTTGCCGGACCTAAACAGACCATTCGTGGTAGAAACGAACGCCAGTGAAGTCGGCATCGCAGCGGTGCTTCTGCACGCAGCAGGGAATGATGCTCCGCTGCCGCCAATTAGCTTAATTAGCAGGGTCTTTAGTGAGACAGAGCTGCGCTACACAGTTCAAGAACGCGAGTGTCTGCCTGTTATGTGGGTAGTGGACAAGTTCAGACCACACCTTGAGTTCACTGAGTGAGATCTACTGCGATCTCTCCTTACTGTCTTGGATGCTCACCAAAGACCAGACCTCACCACGTGCAAAGCGTTGGATTTTACGGCTGCAAGGTTTCAACTGCGGGATCAAGCACAGGCGGGGTCTTGCAAATGTGCCAGCCGACGCTTTAAGCAGAGCTCCCCTTCAGCACCAGGAAGTTCCAGGCCCGAGTCAACACAACACGCTGTTCCCTATGGCTGTTTCAGAGCCAAGCCCATAAATCAGCCTTTAGGCAGCAGCTGTAGCATCTGAAGTGGACGACACTACTGTCTTGAATGATGCAGGGCTCTTCGCCCAGGAACAAGAGCTGGACCCCATACTGTCAAAACTATGAACTGTGATGAAGGGAGGGAAGCTTCCCCCCACTGACAGTGGTTAACCTTTGATCAAAGACCTGGCGGAGACAACCGAGATGGAAGAAAGTGGGTTGCTTGTTGTGGTCGTACTGACAGTCCCCTGTTAACATGTTTGCGCCGCGTGGTGCACGTGTCTCGCGCAGAAGCCGTATTTCGGGGTCACGACTATTGAGCGATAGGTGGCCTTGTGTACGCGAGCGGTGGTCTCCGCTATCATCATCATCATAGTTGTTAGAGCGGTAGCGCCGCCAGCGACCCCTGGCGGCAGGCAAGCCTTGGTGGCGGCGCGTAAGAAAGAAGCTGCTCTTTGGCTAGTGGCGTTTGGCGCGAAGGGTTGGCTCTCGCGGTGGGTCTGCCGTGGACAGCACCGCGATGGGCCCAT